AGATATCTCCACAACATACAACCATGTTCAGACAGCAGTTCCTAGTGCACTGTGAGATCCACACTTAGAGCCATGCATCATCAAATGCACACTCTCGACCTCTCTCTCTATATTAGCACCCCCTGACATGATCACAAAGTTGTCCCCATATCCAGTTCCATTTCATACTTCATCTTATTCTATGCCTCAAAAAGAAACTTTTTCTTTTTCTTTCAGGTGTTAAGGAAAGAATTCCAAAGAAGAGTCATATTGAACTTGAATCCTCTACTTCTCTCTCCTCACATGCTGCCTGACCCGCTAAGCTTCCCCAACACTTTGTGTTTTTGTTTCCGGTCTTCACTTCTCACTGTACTTAGTTAATACGATGGGTTCCTTGTGTGTTCTGGTTGCACAACATGTATGTAAATTCTTTATTTTTCATTTTAAACAAGGAAATTAAGGAAACAGTTGCCTGGAGTCTCTCTTCAGTTGTGCTGACATTCTTCAGTGAAATCTGGCCATAATCAACATAATGAACATTACAAATTGTGTGTTTTTACAGGAGGTAACTATGTTAAACACAAGTTGCATTTCTACGATATTTTGTGCTAGTTTTATAAATAAACTTGGTGGAAACCAGACTTGCTCCCCACCCACCTCCCAACACAAAATTGTCCGTGCCTGTGCCCACCCCTCCAAGATGAATTAATAACCACTTAGGAATTTCCATTACTTGCATTTGTTTTCAAGGCTTTGAGTAGGTTTTAAAAATGAAGCTGGTTCTTTTAGGTGTGAGGACATGAATAGATACATTTTAAAAGGTGGTGAATGTCAATTTTTTTCATCCACTAAGAAATGGACTATTGCAACCCAACGTAAACCAATAAATGGTTCTGTGTATTTCAGAAAAATCACAGAACTTCAGATCACTCCCATGAGTGATTTGTTTATTTGTTGTGATAATCCCATATTGAACTGTATTAATTAATCAGTAAGTCAAAGAATATTTTAAAGCAACATTTTTAGAAGATCTACATTTTTAAAAATTTGCCCAATTAGTTGGTCCATGGCAAACCCTGCATTTGGCAATATGAAAATGTAGCTGAAGTAGAACTCAACACATTTCAAAAACAGTTTCAAACAGTTTCAAAGACAATCTAGTTTACACCTGGACCTCTATCAAAGTTCAAAACAGAAACTTTACCACAGAGTTTTTACCTTAACTAAAGTCTGGTCATCTCCCTTTGGCAATCAATGGTATCGCATTACCAAAACTATCAGCATCCTGATGGTTTCCATTGAACAATAACTATACAGTATCAACCGAATAAATGTGATGCCTACTATATCAGGTCAGGGACTGGACATTCGATAGTGAATTCCTTACTCTCCCAAGTTATGAAATGTGGGGTGACAACTATGAGGTTTATAAGATTAGTTTGTTTTGGGACTTTGTCTTTATTTGAAGATAAAATGAAGGTGGTCATGATTTTCTTACAGATCAATAACTTTTAAAATGGAAGTCAGGCTTGCAGTTAATAGCTGAAAGGATGACAGAACAAGTTTTCACATTTTGTCTAGTTTGCACTTGAGGAAGAATCCACCAAGTAAAAAAAGCTCATTGTAAAAGATAGCTCTATGATTAAAAGTTTCCAGACTGAAAAAGGAAAATAGCAGAAGTAAACTCTTACGATCTAAGATTACCTTGGACGGGTTCCAAGCGGAAGAACTGACAAGTTCTGCAGTCTGCCTGCAGCAAGACTGGGTGTTTTAATCATTAGACACTAAAGGAGGCCAAGACTTTTTACTGGGAAGAAGGTACAAGATGTTTAGTCTTGGGAGGTAATGCTAACAGCCTGTGTCCTAACAGTGGCTAGACTGAGAGTCTTCAAGTGCCATAGAAGTGTAGGAATATCAAGTTGCAAATGGTTGTACTTTTAAACTGTCTACTTACCTATAAGATGAAAGGAAGTTAGGGTCTCAAGGGTAGCTAATCACCATTTCTTGGATACAAAGATACAACTGGATACAAGGCCCATGTGATTGACATTGCCATGGAGTTGGGTTTTGAGAGGGCAACTGTTTAAAATATCTCTGAAAACCTAAGGCAAGGTAATCTGTCAAGACCTGGGTCAGCAGGAGCAACTATAGATAACAAGACACGAGGACTCACTGTGCAGGAATGTAGTTGGGAACTCTAGCTTTGATTGAAAAGGCCAAATTTGTGAGGACTTATGAGGCAGTTAGAAGGTTTGTCTAGTTTGCATTTGAAGAAATATTTCCAGGGGAAACAAAAACACATTGTAAAAGATGGTTCTAACAATAAAATTTCCCAGACTGAAGAAAGAAAATAACAACAGAAGTAAAATCTTGGGAGCTAAGATAACTTTGGACAGGCTCCAGGAAAAGGACTGTATAAAGTATAGCTAGGAAATGTATTTTCAGTTATGTTGAAAGAAAAATAGGATGTTCTGTTCTGTGGTTTCAAGTATAAGTTGATGAAAAAATTGTGTTTTGTGAATAGTGTTTTACTCCTTTATTACAATACAAGTCTTAAAATGTGAAATCTAGTTCTGCTGTTCTTTCAGCTATTAAATTAAGGTTTGGTAACTTTTAAAAAGAAATTCAGTCTCTAAGGAGATCATACGCACTTCATCTGCCTGGATAGATGCAGCTACAACACTCAAAAGAAGCTCAGAATTGTCGAGGACAAAGCAAGTTTGCTTGATGCATCATTTGAAATATCTGTTCTCTTCACTGCTGCTCCATGGCTGCAGTATGTACTGTCCAAAGGATGCCTTGTTGCAATTTAGCCAAACTTTTTCTACAACATCTTCTCAGGAGCAGTCCTCTAGATATTTTCTAACAAACCTGTTCACAGATGTGACTACTTCCCTCAACAGTAGGTGGGACTTGAACCCCAGCCTCCTGGCTCAGAGGTAAGGATACTACCACAGCACCGCAAGATCCCTGCAGTAGCAACCCTCTAAATATGTTCTAATCAACCTATTCAGAGATGCTGTGACACATCCCTGGAGCAAGTGGGACTTGAACCTGGGCCTCTTTGTTCAAAAGTAGGGACACTACCATTGTGCTACAAAAGCCCTAGCAGCCTCCCTCTATGTTTCTTTATACCCAGAGGTTCTATCACACACAAGTGAGAGACTTTCCTGTCACCAAAATCACTGTGACTCTTTTTATTAACTACTAACCATCAGCAGTAATCACTTGTGAAGCTAAAACTCTGGAACTCACTACATAACAGCAGTGCAGCAACACATTCACAAAACATACTGCAGTGCTTCAAATGTTAGTCCAATGTCACCTTCCCAAGGGCAGCTAGGGATAACTAATAAGTACCAGCAACGCTCAAATCTCAGGAATTAAAAAAAAGAAAGTATTAACACAAGCCACTGTGTATATTAGGGCATCTGCCTATCATAGGTTAATTTCTAAACAGAGACTGACTCCTACACTTGGAGTATCTTATAGAAACTGTAGAAGAAGGAGGACCTCAAACTATTTTCAGGCATATTTTACATTGTTTCATATATTTGCTGTTGTGTGTCCCCCTGCCTTTCTGAATTAAGAGAGTGCAACAGCACTGTCACAGCACACTGTTATGCAGAACTTGCCTAATAATATTTAAAATCAGAACCACAAAGAGTAGTATCACTCTGTTCCTGAAAACTTGTCCAGTGCTTTTTCTCTTCGTTATGCTCCACTGCAGTAAGTGAGTAATATTTGCTGCATTCCGTAAGCTGTACCTTAAAGATAAAAACACAGGAACTGTATACTCCAGTCTAAGTAATAAGTTCGTGAAATCCTTGCACCTGTCATAGGTTATTATGTAATTCACTTCTGTTTTCTACAATCGAAATTGGATTCCTCTCAACTTCTCTGAAATAAATGGAGTTCCCAAACGGGTTTGGCTTCTTGTGTAGGAATTTGATAACTAATTGAATGTGTCATTGGATACTGTTCAAATTCTTCAAATTATGGATAAGAAAAAGGGTTGAACCCACTGGAGGAAGAAAAAAGTGAAGAAAACTAGCAAACATACATGAAGATAAGTTCAATATAAATTAAGAAATAAACATTTCCTACTTGTAGCTGCTGTCTTACAAAACAGACTGCCACCGACAGATGGAACATTCAAATAGAAACCGAAATATTCCATTATTTGTTCAATTAATATCACCAGTTCTTTTTGAATTTTTGACTGGTGGTGGTTGTGTCCTCTTTAATACCGTCCTTGGTGTAACTTTCAACATCATTTTGTGGGCAGTTGAGTGGGGTTGGGGCAGTGAGTTGTAAGGCCTTGCTTTTTGACCTTGTCCATTGAGGAGAATTAAACTAAATCAATTAGAAAGAAACATTTCAGAGGAGCTTTACCGTAGCTTTTTTAAATCATATGGATAACATTTTTACTGAGATGTGTGAAATTTGGAATAAGCCATGTCTTTTTCATAGGAACAGAGGAGTGATTAACAATTGGAAAATCCATTCAGCTCAACAGCCCAATAATCTTTCTTTCCAACCATACCCATCAATCAATACACTGCTTAGAAATCTATTTAATTGAGAAACTTCAACCACAAGCACTAAAAAGCCCATTGATATGTAAAAGAAAATATATTAAAAAGAATAATAAGATATGGTGAGCAAATAACTATTGTTTGAAACTAGATAAAGCAGGTGAATGGTTAAAAGTTCTCAACTGTGGAGTCTAGAGGAACGTTTAAAATTGTAAGCTGGAGGGGTGATTTTTCATTTATACTGATCTAGATTTTTATGTGAGGCATGTTTCATATGCATAAATTGCCACAATCTCAACATTAACAGCTATGTGCAAACCGAATTGAAATACCACTACTTACAACATGCAACAAGCTGCTGTACAAATCTGCAAATTTGTTCAAGACGCAAGCTTGTTTCTGGTTCCCAACAGGTACATATTTATCACATTACTTATATTATGACTTACTAGTGTACAAATAAGTGCTGTATCAGTGCCTTACATTGCAGTTTTTCATTTTTGTAGTATTCTAAGTCCTCTTTTGTGTGGTTGTCATCCATATGTTGGAAAAACGATAAAGTAGTCAGGAAGTTTTCAAACGTGATTTCATCAACTGTTCCACTCGTTTGTTGCCCCAAGTTTCTAGGGCAAAACACATGGATGTTAAGAGATTGCTTTACACTTTCTCACTCTCAGCACCCATTTCCACATCAGGCACAGCCTAGATTTCCCCCTTCTATCAATAGACTTCAGTTCCAACCTTGAAAAATACTTTCTGCTTATGCTGTACTATAGCTATTTTGTACATCAGCCATTCGAGCAGTCTCTCTGAGATTTCTAGTTTTATACTGTGCTTCCACACTTCCTCAGAAGCAGCTAAAATTGCTCAAATGTATCTCATGGAGAGTGGAGAATTCCATTCCAACAGCAGGAATTGGGTTTGTGACCCAACTGCATGATTGTAAGCAAAGTGGGTTCACTCAGTATACGCAAGATTTAAAAAAAATCATATGATCAATAATATGATAATTCTAAATAGATTAATTTAGAAAGGCTGAATTGAAGACTTACCTCCTATCAAAAAATGCATTGACAATTCTTGACTTAATGGGATTACAGTCCAGATCTGGTATGTTATCAAAACAATCTTTGCTGCAAAATAAAGTGGGTGAGTATTTTATATGGACAAGCAGTTACTTCAACATGGGGAAAATTGCTCTAAATGTTGTTATACATGCATAGTAACTAGAATACTAATACCACATTGTAGCCTTCCCATCCGTTAGGTGCAAGAATCTTCTGTGCAAGATTTCAATTTGCTCTGAAGTAACTGAGAGGAAAGAAATTCAAAGTGTGAGATATTTACATAGAAAGAACATCCCCTCCTAAATTGTCCATATTATTTCATTTACCATGTGAGATTTTCTGTACAGGACTCATTGTGTCTACTGGGAGCACAGAAACAGGCTCAGCTTCCATTTAATTAATGTATTATTTTTAAATAGGTTAATATTTCTGATATCTCCAAATTACATGAATGTGGCTGGTATAATCAAAAGTAAACAAGGTGACTCCCTGATTCCTGGAGCCTTTAAGAAAATATAGCTGATTAAGTTGGCTAACAAAAGCTGCTATCAGACTGCAACTTAATGTTAGTTACTCCCACATATTTCACTTTGAGTTCTGAAGGTAGGTGAAGGTAACAAATTATATATTCCAACATTGTTAATTACAAGCAGGATTTTGAAAATTTTTTTTAAGTGATGTTGTTTGTTGGGACACTGTGCTTTGGATTTAAATGAAAGGTGAGATTAGACACTGTAGAGAACATTGATGTTCTATCTTTTGGAATAAACAATCTAACCTAAAAGAGATGAGATACTATACTTTGGCATTTTTCTTAGAAAATGTAATCTCATTTACTCCCTTAAAAATTGACTATGCAAACATGAGTCAGCAAAAGTAAAACCCCTGTTTCACAAGGTGCTCATTTATGGAGCCTGAAAGCAGGAGGAACTATACAGTAACTTTGTCATTTTGGTTAAAGCATGTAATGTTGACAGAGAGCAAAAGAAACTTCACTAAGCACTTCTGGGTTTCACTCACTTAAGAGACACAATAGGTAGGCACTGCCAGTGTTCTTGCTGCCCTTCGTGGTAGAGATACATGTTCTACTTGACTTGTTCTGGGTTAGCTAAGGCTGTCTCAGAGGCTTACTTGGAGTGATTGGGCTTAGAAGCAAGTCAACCAGCCCATTGAATTCATGCCCCATGCTGCAGGGCAGTCAAATCAGTCTATTACCTTGCTCTATTCCCTCTTGCCCTGCAAGTTTATTTCCCTCAAGCACCCTTCCAATGTCCTCTTGAAATTATTGACCTCTATGCTTGTTGAAATACAAGAAACAGAATAGTAGATGCATTACTGAAGTTAATGCTATTGGTAATGAATCAAGGGCAGCAAATACAGGCCTACGGTCCAGTACGCATGAACACATCCTCGTTACGATATACAGAAATGTAGGGTGGAAGCAGCTCAGGACCAGGATCTTTACAGGCTGGGGTTTGATCTACCTAGTGACTGAAACGTACAGTTCAGGAGGGATTCAGGGTCGATCCCTGGTTTGTCTGCTCAACCCCGGCTAGTCACCCAGGCAGGGTCGCTGAGAGAGTGTACTCAGCTCCCCCTCAGCTCGGCAGGGGCAACCCTACCCTGTTTGTCACACTCGCACTGAGAGTGAAGATGTGAGCAGCAGGACAGGTCATTGTGAAGCACCCCACAGTCGGTTAGCCGCTCACTCGCGTGTGAGTAACGGCCAGATTTGAGTGACCAAACAGCACCCTCAGAGTCCGGAGAAAAGGAGGCAGAAAGAATGGGGGGGGGGGGGGGATAAACACTATGAAAAAGACATTTGGCTACAACACATTCATTGACAGCTCTTGAGCTTCAGGAAGTGCGATGAAAATCACGCAGTTTTTTTAAAAAATGTTTATCATGTCCTTTCCGTATGAGGAAATGCGTTTCCAACCAGCCTTTTGTTGCGTGATCTTCGCGAGCCTCCTGGATTATTCGACATTTTCACTTTTAAATTGAGTTCGGCTCTTAAACAACCCAAGTATAAGCGAGCGCCTGGAAACTGTACTCACAGCCGGTTGTGTTCGCAAGGTTGCGAATCTCCCAGGCAGGCAGCGAAGGTGTAGACCCCATCACCTCTTCTTTGCCTTCAGCAGATCACACCTTTCAAAACTCACAAAGTTCTAGGGAGCAAACTGACCAGGACACAGGCGCTTCGCGTCTCCTGGAATCAGTTGAAGCTCTGATCAACAGACACAACCAATTGGTAGCTTCGGTTAGTGGTGTCCTGTAGAATGTAACTGCAATCACTGGCGATAATGAAATGTCCTTTTCGACACTTCCCTATCGTGCCAGTGAGGGATTCCTCTGGGTCCTACCGCTCAAGATCTGTTTGAATAATTCCTCGCTTCTTCCAGTGTTGACTAAGTTTCAATATTGTATTTCATGACAAAGATTTTGCAATAAGGTACACGGAAGGGAAGAGATGATGTACTTTTTCTTTCTTTAAGTAATTGTATTTCAAGACAGAGATTTCACAATAACCAACAGATGGCGTACGCCTTTAAAATCTTTAAATTACCTATATTGAACATCTTCTTGCGTTATTTACCCAAAGATAACATCACAAACTCCAGTAGGTTGAGAGCAAGGAGACAGTTGCAGCTGAAAGAGGCAACAAACCTCCTCTCAAACCCATTGGCGCTAATCTGATCCAGACCAACCATCCAACTAACTGAGCTAACTGGGCCCCGTGAAGGAGTTTGATTTGCTGAGCGACATACACTTGTACATCCATTTGAACTATGGATAGTGATGTTGGAGGCTCCAATTTATTTCCATGGCATGGCTAACCAGGAATGTCTCCCACTCTTACAGTGGAAGGATTTACAGATCAATTCTCACTCTGCTTGCTTCTGAACATAATTTCCTTGGTCATCAAGACCTGCACTGGAACTTTGAACCTGGACTTCTGGGTCAGAGGCAGAAACACTGCCCCCTGCACCAATGACCTACACAGGGTCACACTGTTAGAACGAGGAGTTTGACATTTAGGGTTGACTTGACAAGACATTTATCACTCAAAAGGTTGTGAATCTTTGAAATTCACAAGAGTGCTGTGGATGCTGAGCTTTTGAATTCCTTAAGGCAGACGTTGATGGACTTGTGGATACTCAGGGCTATAGGAATATTGTGGGAAGGTGGAGTTGTCTTAGAAAATTAGCCATTATCTTCTTGAACAATGACATAGGCTCAAATAGCCAAATGACCTATTCTACTTCTTATGTTCTTAGACATATAACAGGAGAACAGCAGTGATAGCGTATTATTTGAAATAAATAAGTGATAAATACCCTCAAAATAAAAGCAGAAATGCAATTTCTTGCATCAAATAATCCTCAATAAGCCTGCAGCTTCACGGACATATCATTCCTCCTTCAATTAACTTTTTCACCTGAAGTCTGAAACACCTTCCTAAAAGCCCACTGTGTTGTTACATTTCTCTCACTTCTCATAAACTTTCTCAAATGTACGACTTCCACTGCTTTCAGCTACATTGTATAATCTTGTGCTGCTTGATGACTGCCCCTGACTGTAATGAAATCTGTTGGGTGTAGTTTACAACATCAAATACATTGTACCAGTGCAAGTGATTGTTGTTACAGCTGCTTAGGTTGAAGGAGTAAGAGCTAGTACCTTTAGTTAACACAGAACAAAGTCTGATGCGTCAATACATATTTCCATATTTTGCACTTTGGGTTCATATGCAAAGTTCACAAGTAAACTAATATAATTCAAACATACAATTGTATCTTGCATGGGAGTCAGATTACAATAGATGCTACAATCACAATTTTCAATTTAGTGAAATGTTTCAGAGACTCAGAATCAATATGCAAAACAACACAAGGCATTCAACCTTGACCTTTTTGAATGCCATTTTAAGCAAACAAAAGGACATTTATTTACCTTTATAGGTCTATGAAATCAACTTGAATTCAGAAATGACCCCAGGCAGTGATGATTTGTCCCTCCCCCTGTGTGTATGCACTCTCATGAATTCCTTTGCAGTGTTCTACATTTGTGAATGACCTTATCCATGTGGAATGTATCTTGCTGCAATATTTATAGTCAACTATAGTCAAAATATAGTCAAGAACCTTTTAGTAACAACCAAAGTTACTGTACCTTCAGCAAGAGAAATGTAAATTCAAAGTTTTCTGTTTAGAAAACAAATACATGATCAGATGATGTGATAACAAGG